CAGCAGGTGCCGACCACGCGCTGCGGGGCGATGTCGGTCGACGGATGCGCCTGCAGGCGGCGCTTCCTCCAAGCACCTACGGTGGCCGAAACATGGCCACAATCATAGCGCGCGTAATAGACTTCAGGGGATGGGTCCACGCGAGAGGGGGGGGGGAACTGGTGGTCGGTGCACAAGTTGAGAATGGCCCTCCTCCACGCCGAGAGTCTGAACTGGTCAGCCCCCCATTTCTTGTGGGCATAGAACGCACGGGTGATAACCCGAGAGAAATCAGAGGGGTCACCGCGGGCTCAGGCAGCTCAATGGGACAGAGGCGGAGGGTACTTTTCGCACGCGTCAGTGCGGCGGCGCACCCAGGCAAAATCTTCACGGACCAAGTGCGCCCAAGAGTCGCGGCCCTCCAAGAGCCCGCGTCGGAGGCAGGAAGAAACAAGACATCGGGGGCCGAAAGTCTGCTCCACATCGCCCCGTTGTAAAGAAGGGCGGATGCACGCGGGGCGTCGGTCCACTGGGCTTTTCGAGCCAGCGCCAGCTTGGGACGAGGGAAGACCGAAGCCTTTGAGCGGCCCCAGGGCCGCTTGTCGCTTGGATCTACGCAGCGCGAGCTCAGGGCGGAGAGGGCCGTCGCGGTGCACCATGGCCCCCAGGGACTTGTGCACGTCAGGAAGGTCAGCCGAAACGCCGAGGGCGGGGGCCGAATGAAAACAATTCTGTTCCACGAAAAAAAACAATGTTTGGCCTGGGCAGTATGGGGGGGCCCAGTGGAGAGGAGGATGGCAGATTTCTCTGGCCCGTAGTTCAGACTCATGCCGTAGCTCGACATGGCGTCGTGTAGGATGGTCACCAGCGTGGTCAGTTGGTCTCCGAGGAGGCGGTTGTCCCGACTCACGCGCACGAGGGCGAGATCGTCAACGAAGGCAGACTCCGCACGAACGGCATGAGAGGGTCGCTGCACAAAGACAGGGCGGGGGCGGGGGGCGGGGGGAGTCTCCAAAGCAAGCCGGAATGGTCTAACTTGGCCCCGAGGTCCATCAAAACCAGGCAGAAGACGAGGTTGTAAATTATGTCAGCCATGACCCCCCCAGGTTGGGACCCCGCGCGGGTCCGAGCGGTGTAGCCTCTCCCTTAACCCCAAACCAGGTGCCGGTGCGGGCCTCAGAAATCAACCCAAGGAGGTGGGCATCCTGGAGGGTGTCAGGAGTCAGGGTAGGGTGGGCCACGCAGGAATCCAGAAGCGGGGCAAGGCTGAGGGGCATGTCAGCCTGATCTACAATCTCGGCCCGATCATCAACATACGAGCCAACAGGGAGAGCAATTTCCAGCGCAAAAGTGTACAACGCTTGCTTGAGGTCTCAGAAAACGAGCATCGTGGTGAGGCCTCGCTGACGAGCGAGGTCCATGACACTGAAGGTAGTGTGGAGGGCCATGGCGGTCCCCCTGCCCTTGCATCCCCCGCACTGGGTGCCGAGGAGCATGTGTTCAATAACCGGATGCAGACGACCTCTGAGAAATTTCTGATGGCGTTTGGCAAGGTTGTTCATGAGCAGGATTTGTCTGCACTGCTCAATATACTCGGCCTCGCCCTTGCCCTTTCAAAGCTCATGAGCCCAGCCCCCTTTAGAAGCCAGGGGCTCGCGACCGAGGATGCCGATCTTCGCGCGGAGAGGGCGCGCAAGCCGAGCGCAAGCCCCTTGGGCGGCCCTCAGGAGGCTGTTGGAGACGAGGTCCGGGCCAGGCGCTGCTTCCCAATGCGCGCGCGCGTGAAACTACGCATCGTTAGACCGAGGGGCATCCAATTGTCCAGGCACCTGGCAGGCGGGGGGTCAACAAAAGACGGCTAGGTGAGGTTGTATGTATGCATCGTGCTATCAACCGGCAAAGCTTGGGCTCGCTCTCTCTCGGCAAGGAATTGATGAGCGTCGTTGGCCGCGTCTCGAGGCGTGGTCAGCACCTCTCCGGGGTCTTTGCGAATAAGAAGATGCTTGGACGAGCATTTGCCAGGGCGGCCCCCAGAGGCCAAGAGGCGGCGGCGCATGGCCCGCTGGCCCCTGGCATCATCCGAATCCGCGGCGGCTTGAACTTGGTCAGCCATGCTTTCTAGGAGGGCCGCGCGGTCGCCCTCGAGAAGAGAGCGAACCATCCTCCCAGAACTCTTTCGGAAGGCGTGAAGTTCAGAGAGCAAGTCAGTCCCATCCATCACCTCGCCCTGAAACCCCGAGGCGGCGAAAACCATATCTTCGAGGAAAGCCCCTTCCATGGCTACGGGGTCGCGCGGTGGTGGGGGTGGGGGGGGGGGTCGGGGGAGTGCGCGAAACAGAGTCGCCAAGAGCCCGAAGGGGGTCGACGTGACTGCGAGACTTCCCCCTAGGAGGACGAAGGGCCGCTCTGACACGGCGTCTAAGGGACATGAGGTCCACGGTACGCTGTCGCACGCAGGGTTTGCGAGGGTAGGCCTTGGGGGCGAGGGTGGGGGGTGGGGTGGGTGGGGGGGGGGGGGGGGGGGGCTGACTGACCGCGTCTCTGATTCGGCTGGCCAGGAGGGTGCAATGGGCATTGGCGTCAACCCCCCATGGGGCCAAAGGGGTGCCCAAAAACATCTCAACAAATTTGGCCTGCTTAGCTGGGCCCAACATCGCGCGCCGACCCAACCGATGGGGCAGCCGCAGGAACGAACCGCGAAGACCACTGGAGGTCGACAAAAATGGGCCAGTGGCCCCCAGCTTCGACCAGGGAGCCCCAATCGTGCCAGACGCCGTGGCTCTTGACACACTGAGTAAGCCTAGGAGCAGACAGGATATAGTCCAGACGGCGGGGGGCGCCATTATGGGCGGTCCAAGCATGACAGTCCGAACTGCTGGGAATGTGGGCGGTGGGGGCATCAAAACCACACCAAGCCAGGTAGTCCATCAGGAGGGGGCCTCTTTTGTCTAAATCCCGGGGAAAGCCCTGGGCGCCAACGCGCATTCCTTCGACCAGCTGACAACCAGCCCGAGCGCTGGCGTCGACGAAAACAAGATCGGTTTTCCACTTCGATGCGAGGGCGAGGGCTTCCTCCCACCAGGCAGTCCTGATCACCATGCCGCTATCATTATGATGAGCGTGGAGCACGGCGAGGGAGTACCTAAAGGCCGGGGCGTTGACCTTAATGGTGAGGCGACGGGGGTCGGCGTGCACCACCGTGAAGTGCCGCTTCTCAAGCGCGAGGGGCACTCCCTCGCGGGAGCCATAGCGGGTTCGAAGGGGCGCCCCAAGCTCAACCCCCAAATTGCCATCGACCAATCCTGAACTCAACGCCGCAAAGGTACTGGCGGCGCGAGAGCCCCGAGTGGTACGAGCCTCCTGAACGCCCGCAAGGGCCACGCCATGCAAGTCGAGCTGCGTCCTAAGAAGGTACACGGCCATCGGCAAACCTCTCAATGGGGGTCGCCCGAGTCGCTGTGACGGAGCGTCAAAGCATTGCAGGACGCACTACGCAGTGCAATCTGCGCCTCAGACCGCGGGGCTTCAGAGGCCCCCCCGACATAGCTCTTCCCCCTACTAGGGTCAGGCAGGGGAGCAGTGGGGGCCATGGTCGAGCAAGTGGTTAAGGTAGGGCGGGGCTGGCACCAATATCCTCGACCGTCGAGGGGGGGGATAGGCGGGGCGAGGAGACCAGGGAGAGCGCCTGAGCCAATCCCATTCGGAGCAGCTAGAGTTAGCGAGAGCATGAACGATCGGCGCTGACGGAAAGAGGAAGGGCCCTCGGGAGGCACGCTTGGCCAGGCTGTCACAGGGTTAGTTCCGCGGGTGTCCGCAGTGCCCTGGGGCATGACAAATCTGAACCTCGCGCTGGGTGCGAGCCGAGAGGTAGAGGGCGCGGGCAGTGCAGCTGAGCTCCTCAGCAGAAACAACAGACGAAACCCCCATGGCCGCATCGATGGCCCCAAGACAGTCCGAGTAGATGATGATCCTGCTCTGAGCGCCCCGGGTGCCAGAGCAGACCAGACACTAAAGTATGCCCACCAACTCAGGGACGATGGCGCTGCTGGGAGTCGAAAGCCCAGGGAAGGCCAACATGGCCTGCGTCCAGAAAGCCCCTCCGGAACCAAAACTGCCATCATAATTGGAAAGAACATGGGCCATGGACCGCCCCGCCCCCTCGGGGTCGGAAGCAAAAAAGGACCGTCGACGAAGCGGTATTTGGTTATACCCATGCCTGAGTGCACAGGCACAAGGTCCAATGCCGTAGACGCCGCTAGGTGGATATCGCCACGATCACCCACATCCACGGATAACGTGAACCCACCTGTTACCACAAGACCTTCACACATCGACCGTGGCAACTGCAAATCCCACCGCGAGGCGCCCTTTTTGGCCGCCGCGCAAGACCCCAAGGCGTCGGCGAGTGAGATGGGGATTCCAGGGCCCTCTACCCCTCCAGTGGCCCCCAGGGCAGGAGGCGGCGCCCCAACCCCCGCGCCCGCGGCGAGGGGGGAGGAGAGGAGAGTTGGAGGGTGGACATCCTCGGCGTAGCGCGCGTGAGACGGCTTCCCCGAGCGATCGCGGCGCACAGCTTCAAAAACCGACCCTGGATGTTCAAAGGCTCCAGGCGCCCAAACTCCCCCGAGCCTGGCGGGGTAGGGCGGCGTGTCAGAATTCGAAATTGGAGCAGGTGGGCGTCCCTGTGGCAGAGGAAGGCGGAGGTCCGAACGCAGGCGGAGCGAGTGCAGGGGCACTCCCATTGATCGCCAGACAGCCCGTGGGGCTGAGAACCTCGCTCGCTTCCGAGTCACCTTGGGTGGGCTCAATACAATCGGAGCCACAGCCAGGGCGAATGTTTGACACCCCGGGGGCTCGAGACCAGGACGGGAAGGGGGGGCGATCGGGGCCGAAGAGGGGTTGGGGCCACTCCCATGGGGCCCCAAGACAACCTGCAGAGCAGTGGCTGTCGGAGCAATCGGCCGCGAAAGCGGAGCACAACTTTAGGCCGCCTGGCCTCGAGCTCCCCTGCGCGGTCGGCCTCATGGCGTCTGCAGCGCGCTGGCGATGCGGTGCACGGTGCGACCCAGGAACAGGAAGGTGCCCCCGTCGAGGACGAGGGCGCGGTAGCTGAACGGCAGCGGACCCAGGAGACCAGCACCAGTCCGTGGCCGAAGAGGGGGAAGCACAAGAGACAGTCAAATTGCCGCGTCGTCCAGCGAGGCTGCCTGCAGGCCAGAATTGCGCCATGGCATGAAGATATTCTTCTGAAGACATTGGTGGGGCTCTCGCTATTGTTGCGCGCGGGCTGGGAGGCGCTGGCTCCGCTGGGCGCCCGCGCGAGCTGAGGCGGTCATCGCTGCGCGACCTCGCCCTGCCGAAGGATGGGGGCCTCTCGCCGAGACCAGGCTTGCCGCTGGACTCCGCCTTGGCCACTGGCGAAGCTGGCGACGATTTGATCGACTGCGGTGGCGGCGGATCAAACGAACCTGTCTGCGTGGCTTTGGAATGTTCCATCACCTGTTGCATGCAATGAGGCATGGCTTGCGTCTCCTTTTGCGCGGGCGCCAGCTGCGTCTGGACCTCGGCCTGCACGTTGGGCGGCCTTGGCGCGGCGCGGTCGGCGGGCGCCCCCTTCGCCGCAGCTGGCGGTGGTGTTGGCGGCGCAGGCTGCGGCGGCGGCGGTGTCGGGCGCGGCGGCGGCGGGGCGCCCATTGGCGCCGCGGCCGCCGCGGGCTGCGGCGGCGGCGACTGCTTCGCCGCCGAGAGCCTGCCCCCGCAGGCACCGCGGCCGCTGCCTTGGACGGCGGCGCCGCCGCCTCTGCCTGCTCCGCACTCGGCGGCTCGCCGTAGAGGTCGAACGCCGCGTCCATGCCGGCGGGGTCGTCCTCCTGCTCGGCCTCGCGCTCGTCCTCGATGGCCTCCATCAGCTCCGAGCGGGTCCTCTTGGGCGCTTTCGCTTGGCCCGGCAGTCTGTCGTAGCTGACTCTCAGCCCGTCCGCGTCCTCCTGCTTTGACCCCTACAACTTGTAGTCGGACTCGACTCGCTGCTTCGTCCTTTCGATGTTGCCGTCGACCATCGTCAACTGAGTCTCGACGGAGAAATGGGCGACCGAGCAACGTCTCGTGACCGAGAGTTGGCGCGCGCGCTCCGAGGTGTCCAGCTTCTGCGTCTTCAGAAGTCCGCGCCGCGCCCCCAGCAATGCGATGCGCGCGCGAAGGTTCTTCAAATACTGCTTGCGGGTGTCCCCTGGGGCCCCTGGGGCCAGAGGCTTGAAGTGGTCCGACAGCGCTGCCTCCGACGGTGTGGCCATCCTCGCGCAGGGCGGCTCGTCGGCGGGGCTCCTGGCGGAAGACGTCCACGGCGCCCCCTCTTTGCCGAGATGGCCCCGAGGTGACTCAGAGCGTCGCGGTGACTGTCCACGCCTCGGGCTGCGGCCGCGCCAGCCCTGCCGCCAATGCTTGCCGCAGCCTTTGCACCGCGCGAGCGCGGCGGCGTTCTGCTCGCCGCAGCCGCATTGCCAACGAGGCATGGGGGAAGTGAAGGGAACCGACATCACCCCGCGGCCGCGCGAGGGCCCGCCGCGAGGATCGCGCGGGGGACGACCTGCAGCTGCTGCGGGCGGCCCGCCTCGAGCCAGCCCCTCGGCTGCAGGCGGGCGCGAAGCCGCAGGGCACGGTCTCGCACTGGAGCCAAAATGGTTACGGTTCCCCCCCCCCCCCCCTGCCCCTCTAACTACCTAGATGTAGAAATAAGAGGCACCCACATTCAAGCGTTGTTCGGGGAATGCGCCATGGCAAACTCTGCGATGGATTCCATGACATCCTGGATGGGTCGAAGCCACCTCGATGGAATTCCGACCTGCAAGATGGCCGCGCGTTGGCCAGGTTCCTGCGAACGCGGCCGGACCACACTGCCAGGGCGCCTCCTGCTCCCTGCCTGTACCCTGCTCGTCCGAAGTCGTCGTCCTCCTTCTTCTGCCGCCATCCTGCCCCTCTGGATCCTCATCACCTGAACCTTCTTGATCGCCCCCCCCCGCCGTCCTCGTCCTCATCCTCGCCCTTCCTCGCCTCACATCCCCCCCGTTTTCCGCTTGGTCATTATCATCTACCCCATCTTCGCCATCGCCGCGGTCATTTGCATCTCCTCGCTCACCGTGCTCCAAGAGGCCCCCAGGACTGGCCGTCAGGATCCCAGTAGCTCATCCAAGAGCGCCCCGACGGGCCCGAATGAACATACTACGTTGGGTATATGTCTCTTTCGCGCCCCGAGGCCTTCCCGTTCTGGCGTCAAAAATGGCCCCGCAGATGCTGATGACGGCTCCAAGGCGGCCCAGGGGGCTGTCGAAACGCCGCGCGCAGCCCCGCGGGAATTTCGAAGACGGCCCCGAGGGCCTTCAATGCGGCCCGCGCGCTCTCAGCGCCCCCTTGGGGGCTGAGAGTTGGGGGCTTTCAGAAGCTCCCAGGGAATTCCCAAATCGCGGGAGCTCTCTGAGGCCTTTCGGGCGCGCGCAGAATCCTGTCGGGAAGTCCCAGAGGCTTCCTGGGAGCTCCCAGAGCGAAGATGGGCGGGCTCAATCGTATTCTCGCGGTTTCGTGGCCCTTCCGCTCCTCCAAGGAGGCCCCGCCAGAGCGGGGGAAATATCGGAACACCGTGCCATTCACGCGGTTTCGTGGCCCTCCCGCCTTTTCCAGGGGGGCGCCGCCACAGCGATGGGGGGCATCGGCCATGCTGATTTCACGGTTTCGCACCCCCTTGCCTTTCCCGGGAGGCCCCGCCAGAGCGAGGGGGGCATCGGAACACCATGTTATGCTCGCGGTTTCGTGCCTTCCCCACCCTTCCAGCGAGGCCCCGCCAAAGCGAGGATAATATTGGGGCAACACACTATTCGCGCGGTTTCGTGCCTCTCCAATGCTTCCAAAGAGGCCCCGCCAGGGCGAGGAGGGTATCGGAGCAGCATGCTATTTACACGGTGTCGTGCCTTTCCCGCTCCTTCAGGGAGGCCCCGCGAGAGCGCCATTGAGGCTTTGGATTTTGCCCACAGAGGCCCGAACGCACCCTCAAAGGCACCGCCACGCTGCCTACTCATGCCCCGCGCGCAGCCCACAGAGGCCCCGAACGCTCCCACATAGGCCCCGACAAACTGTCCACTGAGACCGCCGACGCAGCCCGCTGAGGCCCCGAGCGCGCCCACAGAGGCCACGCCGCGCTGCCAACTGAGGCCCGGCTGTGACATTCTTACGTGGGGAATGCGGGCCGCCTAGTTGGACTCGGCGTCGCACGTCAGTCTTGCGGCTGCAACTTGGCGATCCCGGGTCGCGCCAGAACACCATTCTTGGGACTTCAACGCCACGAGTTAATGTGACTGCTACACCCTGGTAATCCGCAGTCGGGATGGAACAACATTCTTGGGTCGTCAGCCATCAGAGTCCGCTGAAGCGTTGTAAACGTTTTGGGCGGATGTGCGCGGCGCTTAGGCGGAAACCGCATTTTGAAAAGGAGCCATTCTCGATCTGTGAAGCTTCTTTCGGGCGGGAACACATTTCGAACAGAGAGACGCCATCCACCCGCGAAGCAATTGCAGACTTTTAAGACGAGTATGCGCGGTTTTAGGGCGAGACCCACATTTTGCAAATCGCCCGCCCTCCATCTGCGCCGCTCTTGCAAGCTGGTCAGACGAATGCTCGCGGCGCTGACGTGGGACCCACATTTTGAAAGAGGGGCCGCCCTGAATATAAAACGAACGCGTGCGGCGCTAATGCGGCGCGCCGCGCTACGGCGAAAACCATATTTTGAAAACTTCCAGCCTTCGACCCGCGAAACTGCTGCAATTGCGAAATTGTTGCAACGCTTCAGCTTCAGGACCATGGGCGGCGAGGAAGTCTCAGGCGAAACGCCTGGCCTGCTCTATCAGCCCGTATCCGGGTGCGACAGTCAGGGGGGGGGGGGGGGGGGGGCGACGCAGCAGGATGATGACAGGGCAGAGGAGGAGCAGGAGCAGGAGGAGGAGGAGGAGGAGGAGGAGAAGGAGGAGCCAAGGAAAGGAGGAGCCAAGGAAGGGAGTCAAGCGCGCGGCCGCGCACGGGCCCCCTGCCCTCGGCCGTGGCTGCGCGCCGTGCCATCGGCGTGGCCGCAGCCTGTGGGGAGGCTACCCAGCCCGCCCCCCCGCGCCACTGCTCGGGGGGAGGGGGGGGGGCAACCCAGCCCGTTTGCCAGCTCCCCCCACCAGTGACTGCGGGGAGGCTGACCCGCGCCGCCGGTTGGGGGAGGGGGGCGGCCACCCGCCCCGTCTCCCACCCACCCCTACCTGGAGGAGGAGTCAGAGGCGAAGCAGAGGAGGAGCGGATGGAGGAGGGAGAGGACGACGACGCCGACTTGGCCGATGCGGCGGCGCTCCGGCTGGGGCCTGCTGCCCCGCCAGGGCCTCTTGCTGGCGCCAGAAAGGGGGGGCAGGGGGCAGCAGCGGCAGGGGCGCGCGAACCAGGAGGGGCAGGAGGGGGAGGACAGCGGCGACGAGCCGCTGGAGATTGGGCGCTGGACTTGCCGCCGGCGTCCAAACGCCCAGCCGCGTGCAAGGCATGCGCAGCCCCGTTCGCGTCGCAGGAGATGCGCCCATGGTAGTGGGGCAGCCGGCAGCGGTGCAGGCGGATGTGCATTGGGCGCATGGCTCGCAAAGTGGGCTCGGAGGACGAAGTCCGCCCAGTCGGTCGCGCGGAGGCCGCGCGCGCCCAGGAGGCGCGGGCCGCGCTGGCCGCCGCAGCAGCCGACCGCAACGCTGGCGGAAGGCATCCTGGCCACGCGGCACAGGGGGGGGCGACCCTGACCACGGCAGGATGCCAGTCAAACGCCCGAACTGGGAGGGGCAGGTGCTGCCGGAGCGCGGGCGGTGGCAGAACCTGTCCTGGGAGGCCGCGCCCGGGACAGGAGTGTCCACTTTCGCGCGGGCGCCTGACAGGTCCCGCAGGGCAGTGGCTCACGCCCGCCACGAGGCCTTTGAAGTGCTGGGAGTTGTTCTTGCTCTTAGGCGTGGCGCTGCTCGCCTGGCCGAGCGGCGGCGGCCCAGCGCGTGCAGAACTATTGGAAGAGCAGCTCGCCTTGCGGCGGGGTAGGCAGCGGGCGCCTCCGCGGGCCTCTACGGGGGGCAGCTCGGCGCCCCGGGCGCCTGGAGGACGCGCAACCGCTAGGCAAAGGGGGGGGGGGGGGGGGCGCGTGCACGCGCCGGCTGCTGCTGGCGAATTCGCCAGCAGCACGCGAGCTTGACGCAGACGCGCCGTCTGCGTCGAGCTCGCGCCCCGGCGCGTCTGCGTCGAGCTGCCGGGGCCGAGCTCGCGCCCCGCGCAGACGCGACGCTGGGCCAGCTTCGCGCGAGTTTCCCGCCTGACGAGCGCGCCCCTGCAGAGGAGCAGCCGCCGTCGCCCCTGCCGCGCGCGCCGCCCAGCCCAGAGCTCCAGGGGCAAGTGGGGGGCGAGGCGCGCCTGCTGCTGCGGAGGTCCCCGCGGCTTACAGCGCCAGGCCTGCTTGGAACGCAGCTGGAGCACCTCGCCGCCGGCGCCGACGGTGGAGAGACTCGGCGACTGCTCCCCCGGGCGATCGCGCGGGTCGCTTTCGGCGAGCTTCCGCCGGGCGTTCTCCGGGCTGTCCGGTCCGGCGAGCGCGGAAGACGCAGCTTGCCGACGCGGCGGGCGGGCGCCGGCACGGGGTCGGGCGGGGGGCGGGGCGACCCTGCTGGCGAGGCGCCTGCGAGCCCTGGCGGAGACGTGGGCAGACGCCTTGTTCATCAAGGTGGGCGCGGAGGCGGCGATTCAAAGAATGAGGCGGGGGCCCGCGCTCCAGGCAACGGCGGCGGCGGCCCCCGAAGTGGCTGCAGCGCTGCATGCGCGGCGCGCGGAGCCAGCCGAGCACTGCTGGCGGGGGTCCAGCGGGCGGTTCGAGAATGTCCGCAGCCGACGGGGGTTCGACCAGGGGGGCCCGCTGCCCCAAGCCGGCTTCGCCGTCGGCCAGCGGCGAGCCATGGGGTAGCTTTTGGGCGAGCTACAGCAACAGGACCCACGCGCAAGGCTTTCCTCCTGCCTGGGCGACGCCTACCTCGTGGTAAGAGCGGGCCTCGGGGTGCTCGCGCTGGTTGGCCTGAAGAGGGTGCTTGCTCCGCTCGGGCTCGAACTCAACGCCCGGTAAACGCAGGTCTGGTCACCGGCCGGAGCGCAGGCCGCCCCGCGCGATCTGGCGGGCCACTTGGCGCCCGAGCTGCCGGCGCTCGGCGCGAAGCTCCGGGCGCCCGGGGGCGCCGACGACGCGGCGCTCGCATTCGGCGGAGAGGGCTGTGGACTTGATGCGGAAAGACGCGCCTGCAGCAGCATTTCCCTCGCCTCGAGGAGATCCGAGAGAGCCTTTCCGAGCGGGCGAGGGCGGCGCTCTTGGCGACCTACGCAGGCAACGCCGGCCAACGCCATCTCCAGCTTGCGCTGGCGACGCCCGGCGAGGAGGCCTTCAGCTGCGACGCGGCGCTGACGGCTTGCCGGGGGCAGCTGCTGGACCGCCCCCTGGGGCCTGAGGCCTGCGAGCTGCTGGGCCTACCGCGCAAGCTTGGCGGCGACCACTATGCGCGCTGCGGCCCTCTGGGCCGCCTGGACGCACGTCGCGAGGGCGCCAGATCAGCGGTCGCGAAGGCGCTCCTGAAACTCATTTCGAGGAGGAACCAGCATGGGCGACGAGGGCGCACCAAAGACGCCGCGACAAGCGGCCATGAAGGCGCTGGATAAGCAGCCACGAAAACGCTAGATGAGAAGCCGCGAAGGCGCTGCCGACATGCATTTCGAAGTGGACCCGGCATGGGCGACGAGGACATACCAAGGAATCTGCGACAAACAGCGCTGAAGGCGTTGGGTGAGCAGCCGCAAAGTTGCTAGATGAGCGGCCCTGAAGGCGCTGGATGAGCAGCTGCGAGGGCGCTAGATCAGCAACCGCAACGGCGCTACTGAAATTTATTCCATCCTTCGCTCACTCCGCCGGCCCATGTTGCATGATCGCTAGTGCTTCGCCGTGGGCCCAGGGCCATTGTGGCGCGCCGAGGAGGAGGAGGAGGAGGAAGATGAGGATGGGGAAGGGGAGGGGAGGAGGAGGAGAATATGATAAGGAGAGGAGGAAGAGGAATATAAGTAGGAGGAGGAGGAAGAGGAGGAGGAGGAAGGGGAAGGGGCAGAGGACGAAGCCTCTCATTGGCATCTTGTGTTGCTCTTGGGGCCAAACAGGGTCGTCGTCAAAATGCTTCTTTGGGGGCCTTTCGGAGTTTTTGAAAAGCCGTTCGGGGGCGCCTGGGAGGTATTTTTGAAATTCTGGGGTCTCTTGGGGCCTCTTTTGGGCCTCCTGGGGCTTCTTGGGGGCCTCTTGGCGGCATTTTGGGGCTGCTTTGGGGCCTCTTCGGGGCTTCTCGGGGCCTCCTGGGGCCCTCTTGGGGCGGAAGGCTTGAGTTTTCGGTTCGTGGTCCCCCTCTGCCCCTATTGGGGCCGTATTGGGACCGTTTTGGGCCGTCTTGGGCGCCTCTTGGGCCGTCTCGGGGCCCTCTTGGGCCCTCTTGGGGCCTTCTTGAAATCATCGTAAAATGTATGATGTTGGCCTCTCGGGCCCTCTTGTGACGCCTCTTGGAGGCCACTTGGAGGCCTCTTGGGCCGTCTCGGGGTCATCATCGGCGTCTTGGAGCGCTCTTTAGGCGTCTCGGGGGCCTCTTGGGCAGTCTTGGGGACCTCTTGGGTCAGGAGGGGGGATAGTCGATTGCGCCCCTCCCCCGGGAGGCCACGATCCTCGCGCGAACTAGAATATTGTGAACCAGTTACCGGAGATCTTGGAACGCCCTTGGCCCGTTGGGCCGGCGAATTCCGAAGAGGAACCCGAATTCCGAACAGAAACCGCGACAAGCAGCCATGGAGGTGCTGGATGAGCAGCCACGAAGGCGATAGTGGGCTCCATGCAAAAGATGAGCCGGTAATGGCGACGAGGAAAAAAACGCAGCAGGGGGCGCGAGGAGGACACGAGGGAACAGTTAGGGACGCGAGCGGGGCACGAGGGGGACAGAAGGGGGACACGAGGGGGGCATAAGGGGACACGAGGGGCGCGAGGGGACAGGAGGGGACGCGAGGGGGGCCACGAGGGGATAGCAGGGGACGCGAGAGGGACGCGTGTGGGCATCAGGGGACACGAGGGGCGCAGTAGGGGACACGACAAAGGGGGACACGAAGGGACAGCGGGGTTTATTGGGGCCTCCCAGCGGGGAGCCCCAAAATTCAGAAACCCAAGAAAGCCTGGGCCTAAGAGCTCGATCCGGAAACCGTGGGTTCACAAACGTCTGCATGTTTCGGGGGGGCGCGTTTTGATTCCGCGGTCTTCCGCGGGCCTTCCGCTGGTGGGGCCGCGCCCGTTTCACTTCGCCGCCTCTCGCTGGCCTTCCGCCGAAGGACAAATTAAACTGCTCGGTCCGTCGAAGCGAATTCCCTCCCTGTTCCTTCCGTGCACCTCCTATTTCCTTCCGCGCCCTTCCGTTTTCCTTCCGTTTCCCTCCCTTTTCCTCCCGTTTCTTTCCCTTTTCGTTCCGTTTCCCTCCCTTGACTTCCCGTTTTTTTTGTCCGTTCGTTCCGCGATCATTTTTGTTTCTGTTCCGTTGCCCTACCTTTTCGTTCCGTTGCCCTCCCTCTTCCTCCCGTTTCTTTCCCTTTTCGTTTCGTGTCCTTCCCTTTGCCCTTCCTTTGTCCCACCTGTTCCTTTCATTGCCCTCCTTCCTCGCGTTTCCCGCCCATGTATTATTGTATCCCTCCCTTCTCGTTCCGTGACCTTTTCCTTACCGTTTCTTTCCATGTCCCTCCATGTTCCTGCACCCCGCGCCCTCCGGCCGCCTGAGGCCCCGCCCGCCCGCGCCCTGTCTCCCCAATTAGTGTTTTGCGCGGCCCGCCTAGCTCTTAACTGGAAGAGGCTCGCTCTCGACCCGCAGACCAAAACAGTTTATTTGCGTTTTCTTTATGTGTCCTTGTCACACTTGTTTCCGTCCGTGTCCTTTTCCCGCTCTTTTCCTTCCGTGTCCTTTTCCCTCCGTTCCTTCCGCTTCCCTCCCTGTTCTTTACGTGTCCGTTTCCCGTCCAGTTCTTTCCGTCTCCTTCCCTTTTCCTTCCGTTTCTTTCAGTTTTCCTTCCGCGTCTTTTTCTTTATAGTTTCCCTTTCGTTTCCTTTTGTCTCCCTTCTCGTTTATTTCCGTGTTTCTTCCCGTTTTCTTCTCATTTAGTTCCAATGTCGTTCTGTTTCCGTTTCGTCTTTTTCCGTTTATTTTCAGTTAATTGTCGTTTATTGTTGTTTCTTTCCCGCTTACCTGTTGTTTCCTTCCGTTTCCCTCCTATTTCGTCAGTTTCTTTTCCTTTTCCATCTCGTCTCCTTCCGTTGCTTTCCGCGTCCCTCTTGTCTCTTTCCGTTTCCCTCTCGTTTCCTTCCGTTTCTATATTTTTCTTTCTCGTGTTCCTCCCGTCTCCCTCTCGTTGCCCTTCCGTTTCCCTGTCTTTTCTTTTGGTCCCCTCTTTTTTCCCTCTCGTTGTCCTCCCGTTTCCCTCTCGATTTGTTCCGTTCCACTACCTTTTTCTTTTTCGTGTTCCTCGCAGTTCCTCCTGTTTTCCTACCCGTTTCTTTCGTGTCCTTTTCCGTTTCGTTTTCTTGCGTTTTCTTCATTGTTCGTTTGTTTCCTTTGCCCGGCGGGGTGAGGAGCAAGTGAGGCATAAGGACTGATGTATTTCTTGAGCTAAGTGATTCTTAGGGCGGGGGGAAGCACCAGCCGTAGACTCTTTTAACTCCAGAGGTAAATCGTTTCGATGTTCTTGGTAGCAGTGGAAGACATGGAAACGATTTAACTCCAGAGTTAAGTGATAATTGCCTTGCTGGTTTGAGTGGTTTTCGGGCGGAGGTGGAGGAAGAGAAGGACGAGGAGGAGGAGGAGGAGGAGGACGATGAGCAATATACGTAGCACCCCGCAGATGCGGATAAGAGTGAAGAGGCGTTCTGGGGACGTCGGCAG